CCTCAGTTCAATATCTAAGGGCCTGAAAAAGTCTTCTCTTCACACATGCCTTTTCTAATCTTCTCTTCTTCATTGATGCAACTCTTATCTTTCTGATTACAGTGTCACAAATTTGTAGTGTTCTTCTTTCTCATATCTCAGTTAAATTCATTAGGAAGTGCTGTAAAGTCCATCTTCAAAATTCATATGACTGCTGAGGGCCATTACCAAGTAGGAATGACGCATCGAAATTTCCTTGCCAAGCGTACCCCATGCTGCTTAGAGGACATTCGATGGGACATTGCATGCATGCTTTAATGAGGTGACCTTGCTCAAGGACCAAGGCAGATCCGGGTTTAGAGCTGATCAGGTTTGAGGAAGTAACCGGCTCCTTGAGTTTAAGGCGTTGCCAGTTTAAGATAATGGGTTTTAGGGAAGTTGGAAGTTGAAGATTATTGCTGGGATTAGGGTGTTCCTGCTGCTTGTTCCCGTTGAGTTCTCGGTGAGATTAAAATGGGATTTGGAGATAGCCTCGTGGAGTAGGTGGTTTGTGCGGGAGACGGCAGAACGCGTTTGCCCCTGGACCTGTGTGGAGGCGGTGTGAGAGCGGGAATAAAGAATTGCTGTTTGAATCTACAAAGCAGTGTGGGTGTCTCCTGAATCTTGTGCCAAGCCCAGACATTTGCATATGACATCCAAACACTTCCACTATTTCCCCTGCTCATTCTCCAGGCGAAGTGATGACATCACCAGCATAGGACTGATTAGTTCCCTACAGTCTCCCTACTGACTTGCTAGTCCTCCCATCTCAGTTCTTTTCTCAGTGCAACAGTTAAGAGTGATGATGTGAAAAGATTCACCATGTCTGTCTCTGCTCAAAACTGCCTCACTCAATGCAAGATTCTTTCCGTCAACCTCCAGATCTTGTGACACTGGCTGTGCCTCTGAGCTCTTCTCAGTGACTCTGCTCAGGACATTCTAGATTCTTGCTCTTCCCAGAACACACACAGGGGATCCCACCCTGGTGCATTTGCACTGGAGTTTCTTCCTACCTAGAAAGATCTTCCTCCAAACATCCTAACAAATTCCTTCATGTCCTTCAAATCTATCCTCGAATGTCACCTTGCCAACAAGTCCCTAGTAAAACAGCCATCTTCCCTGTTTCGCATACCCACTCTGTTGTTACCGATGTTGTTACCGATGTTGACTGGTGGAAGCAAGGACTGGTGATGAGTCCTTGCTTCCCCAATGTTGAAGAATAACACCAGAGAGCACGCCGAGGCAAGGACAGAGTAGAAATTAGAAGTTTATTAAAGGACAGCAGAAAAGACTTCTCCCGAGGAAGAAGGGGACCCAAGAGGTGGAATCCGTTGAAGGGCGAATGTGTTCCCCTTTTTATAGGTTTGGTGATGGAATGTAAGGGGGAAGGGTTGGGACACAGGTGGGCCAGACAAGTAATCTGGGCAGGAAGGACTTCATTATCACTTCTTTGGGATGGGCTTATCACTTCTTTGGGATGGGCTATCTCCAAATCTGTTGGGGGCTGTTTCCTGGGTTCCATTAACATTTCTTTGGGGTGGACTTTGGCCTAGGGCCTTTCGGGGACTTCATTAACATTCCATGAGTTGTCCTGCGTTTCCGGGTGCCGGGGGTCCTGCCCCGTGGGGTCCAGGGAGTCCTGAAGGATGAGTGGCGTCCTTCAGACGAAAAGATGAAACAGGAGTCGTTCCGTTAGAGCAATCTTCAGAGAGAGAGCTAAAGCTGCTTTCTCTGGGTCCCCTTTTTATTACAATTTTTCTCATCATTATAGATTCACAATACGTCATTGATTATATAATTTAAAACTTTGCCAAGACATGACATTTCCTTAACCATGATTGAAAGCACACCAATCTACATCCTTCCAGGATATGACCCCCAGCCATACAATCATCAAAAGTACAGAATCATTAATAAAACATGTCACCAGTTTACACCTTTCAGATTTTCCCAGGATTTACTATTTTTCCCAAGATATGTTATTTTCTTATTAACTAATGCCAAACTACGTAACCAGACTCGAAGTCTCCTAACCAATCATTAACCTAAAGTACACTTGTACTTTATTTTTAATCTAAAATTCCCATCTAAAAAAGTCCCTTTAAATCTTATATTTAAAATGTCCTAAAGTTTATGAATCATCCTTAAAACATATCAGAAACCTATACAACTAAAGACTTAAGAATTTCTAAACTTAAGAATCTAAATAAAATAATATTTCTAACATTATTCTAAAACTGTGTCTTATAAAGCTATTTAAATTGATTCCTAAATTTATTCTCATAAAACTGGTTGAGCTGCTTTCTCAAAGAGTTTCTTTGTTTCTCAGTCAAGGTACACTAGTTCTCAAAGAGTTTGTTTCTCAGTCAAGGTGCACTAGTTCTCATGTCCTTTCAGAGGATGATTGTTGTCTGTTATTAGGTTTGTCCACAATGTACTAAGATAGAAGAATAGCCTTTTACTTTGTCCTTGATATGCTGAGGGGTAGTAGAATAGCCTCTAAGGCATGAACTACCTGTTCTGTTCTAGCCATCTGAAATTTAATTTTTGGCATTTAACATACTCATGCCTCCTGTGAGAAACATAAGCATGAAAATGCAAAGTCCCAATTACATAAAAAAGGGTCTCATGGTTTTGGTTACCCACCAACCAGCGTGGCTTTGCCAGCATTCATCCTCACTGTGACCCTGTCAAGACAGTGGGAGAGCGGCTTTGCCAACACTTTTTCTCACTGTGACCCTGTCAAGACAGTGAGTGGGGGATTGCCTCCACCAATTCCTCCTTTTTTATTTTTTAAATGAAGTAACTTTAGTTCCAGATGGGCTGAACGAATTTCACAACTTAGCAATCTGAACAGGACTGGAAGGACAGAAATAAGGACAAGAATAATTAAAATACTTAAACCACTATTAATTAAAATAGAAAATAAAGTTTTGCTGGAGACTAAAGAATTTAATTTGGAAACAAAAGTGTCAGCTAATTCTGGAATGGTTGTTTCTGAAATATGTGCCTGGCTAATGTCTTTTAATTTTTTCCTGAAATTCATCTATGTCTAGAGTTAAATTAGTGTTTTTCTAAAATGCTCGTATATGACATTGTATCTGAGGCCATGTTTCTTCACAATAGTTATATGTGTGAGGAGTAACACAAATCCATTTATATTGAGAATGATATCTAGTTGTCATTCGAGTTTTTATGTTTTGAATTTGATTACCAATGTAAAGGACAGCATCTTCTAAAGCATTAACTCTAGCTTCTAACTTCCTATCTATATGTTCTTGAATCATAAGTGCAGTAGAAATATTTTTTGACAACTGATTTACATGATGAGCAGTATGAACTTCTTTAACTAATGCAGTGGTGGAAGCAACTATGGACCCTATTATACCAATTAATGTTGAAATTTCTAAAATTAAGGTAGCTACAAAACGTTTAGGTCTAATTAAGGCTTGATTAACTAAATCTAATGCTTGTAACCCAGGATCATTATACCAAATAGAATCTAATTTAACAGGCAACATAACATAAGAAGGTTGATGTACAATTAAAATATGATTGGATGCTGATATGCTAGGATCAATACAATTTGTTAATGTACAACCTTCACAAACAACATCATAAGTTTCATCCTCTAATTTTGAAATCTTTAGTGTTCCTTGATTTTTAAGTAATATTGCATAAGGAGATCCTACACAAGCTGTAACAAAATGACTCTCATGTACTGAAGAAGGCCTACTCATATATATTATGTCTAAAGAAGCCAATAACTTATAAAGTTCTGTGAAAATCTGATAATGTTGTTTAATTTTAGTAAAATATAAAGGGGCAATCCATCCAGCTGAGTACCATTCATTCATGGGTTCAAGTGGAACGCTCCTAATAATTCGTATTTGAGGAGTATTCCATGAAGGTTGCCAATGTCTCGGCTGGGCACAAGATCAGGAGGCACCACAAAGCTTTGTAGGTTCAAACAGCAATTCTTTATTCCCGAACTCACACGGCCTCCATACAGGTTCAGGGGCCATCTAAAATCACCCTGCCCAATTTACCTACTCCACGAGGCTTTTTCCAAATCCCATTTGAATCTCACGAAAACTCAATGGGAACAAGCAGCAGAAACATCCTAATCCCAGCAGCAATAATCTTCAACCTCCAACTTCCCTAAAACCCCTATTGTCCTTCAATCTAATGTATGAAATATGATATGTCAAGAGCTTTGTAATGTTGTGAACAACCAATAAAAAAAAAAAAAAAAGAAAAGAAAAACTAAAAAAAAAAAAACAACAAAACTCAGGGCACCAAAGCTCAGATGAGCTTTCTGAATTGACAATACTGTTTATATTGCCACTCACTGATGCTGGGAAGGTAACATGTCTGCAAGGACATGAAGACTTCATATTTGAAACTCTTCCAAATTCTGCCTTATGCATTAGATCTTTGGTTCAATCTAATTTGTATCTTTTCACTGTAATAAAACTATGTAAATATAAAAAAACAAAACAAAACAAAACAAAACAAAAACCCTATTGTCTTAAACCAGGAACGCCTTAAACTCAAGCAGCGGGAAACTTCCTCAAACCTGATCAGCTCTAAACCCGGATCCACCCTGGTCTTTGAGCAAGGTTACCTTACTAAAGCATACATGCAATGTCCCATGCAATGTCCTCTAAGCAGCATGGGGTACGCTGGCAAGGAGATTTTGATGCGTCATTCCTACTTGGCAATGGCCCTCAGCAGAAGGTGATGATAAAATTTTAGGAGCATCATATTTAGATTTAGAAATAGAAAAATCATATATTGGAAAAGAGGAATTTTTTGGAAAGATTTTAAATCCTCTTTTAATAAACATACATGTATGCCACATTGGAAATCCAAATTGTCTATCTATTTTTACCCATGAATGATCAGGTTTTTCACAATCTTGAAACATAGGAGGGGCTTTACTGAAGGCAAATTTTGTTTAAAATCAGGAAAATCTAAAGTTAAAATAGAAAGCATCCAAAGATCCTTTATATCACTTTCCTCATTTGGAGAATATGTCATAAAAATTTTATAATTAAGTGGTATGCAGCCCACAATTGGAATAATATTATAACTAAAACACAGAGGAGGTAAATGACTATGACCCTTAAAACTAAAATTATGAGTTGATATAGGAGTAATAAAAGAATTAGATTTACCCCCCAGGAGATTAGTATTATTGGTAAATACCTTAATATCTCCTTTTCCCCAAGTAGTGAGATGAAATAAAGGTGGATCAGGATAATAGGCCCAATAATATTTAGAAGACACATTGGTTACCTGACAGGCAAGAATAGCTAGCATAGTAACAAACATTTTCTCAGGAGTGCAGGGGTTTGACTGAGTAGAAATAAGTTCTCGAGTTCTCGAGCTTGATGAGTCAATTGTTTTAATTGTCCCCAAGCTGGTAATTCTGCAAATCTTGTTGAAGATGATCATCTGAATAAGGATTGAGGATCATCAAAGTTTATTCGGGAGAAAGATGGAATCAAGGTAGTCATCAAATCTTCCTCAGGCACTGTGGTCAATGGTGAGGCGTGTCGGAGACTCGGAGGGCATGATATGGTCCGGAGGCTAGACATAAGGTCGAATCAGTCTGTCAGGAATCCAAATGGGGGAATTTAAGTCCTGTGGAAAGACATAAGCATATCCTCACCCACAAGTTAGTAATATATCAGGTCCTTTCCATTTACCTGTCAAAAGATCTTTCCATTTTACCAAGGGTTTTGCTGATATTTTTTCATTTTCCCAATGTCATAACATGGGAGTTACTCCTTTATAATCACAATTAAGATGATTAATCACAAACAAAGCATGTTGTAAAACATGATAAGGAGAACTATATTTATATTTATTTATACTTATATTTATTATATTTATATATATATTATATTTATATATTTTTATATATATTATATTATATTTATATTATATTATATATCATTATCAGCATGGCCTCCATTAAACTCGATTTACCTAACTACACTGACTACCTAATTTTAAATCTGGCTTCAAGATCTGCCTTGCAACACTTACCATCTAACATGAACATTGTCCTTATTTACTGTGCTTAGAGTATTTCCCCTTACTCTTTCCTATAGAACACAGGCTCCACAAAGTTGACAATTCTGGCCTGTGTTCAATTCCCTCATGTATCCTAGATGAAAACTGAGTGTCATCTATTCAGTACTCAACAAATGAGAGCTGAAAGAATGATCAGTGTCTTCCCCTCCCTCCTCTTACTAATAAAGCCTTAGACTACATGCTGTGTGGCATCTGCCGCACACTAAAGTCAGAGCCATTTGGGCTTTTCTCACAAGCGCTGGCCTCCTTCCGTCTACACCATCCCTCCTGCATTCCACAGCATCTGTAATGGTCAATTTGAATTATCAACCTGGTTGGATTAAGAAATGCCAAGGTATTTGCACACAGGTATTTGCTGTGCTGAGTCTGCTACAGTGGGGACAGGAGAAGGATGAAAGCAGCTGAGGATGGACAAGGTGGCACCCAGTCTGTGCTCAGTCCATCCTGGGCTTTGATGTGGTCAATGAGGGTGTATCTAGGAATGATTGGCATGTGAGATAGCCAACTTTTGAAATGGAGACACTCCCTAAATGTGGGGAGTATTGACCAATAGGATGATGACTTGGATGGAATAAAAATTGGAAGGACAAGGAAGCAGCAGCAGTTGCAAGCTTGATTCTTCTTGAATGGGTTCTTGATTGTTGCTGTGATCCTCTGAAGATACTGGACTCCCACGTCTTCACTTTTCCAAAACAGATTCTCCAGAATCTCTTTGGTCTCAGATTAGGGTAGCACCATTGACCCTCTTATTCTGGAGCTTCAGCCTTTTGGACTGCACAGCTAGTGGTTCTTCCAGCTCTCCAGCTTTCAGTCAGCCATTGTGAAATATCTAAGATGAGAAATTGTGAGATCTTTTCTCTCTGCTATTCCCCTAAACTGGTTCCTTTAAAAATACTGGAGAAGTGATGAAAAATACAATCCAGGAAACTGCCCTGAGTTTTGTGGGACAATGTTAGGAAAAAGGACTCCTGCTCCTCTCAAAGATGAGAGATAGCCAGAGGAGATGAGACCATAATTCATACTTACTAACAATAACAGGGATAATTCTCTATAGAAATTGAAAAAAAAAATTGGGAGCTGAAGGTCGGACTCAGGTCTCAACCTAGGTTAACTCAGTGGCATGATGACCTCCCTGCCCATGGTCCTGAAGACAGGACCAGCCCTGGTAATGCTTGTCCCTGGCATGCGTGGCCTGGGTTTGATCCTCAATACCACATATAAACAAAGATGTTGTGTCCCCTGAAAACTAAAAAATAGTGACCAGCGTTTTCCCCTCCTGATTGGTTGAGGCACCTTGGTCATCCCTGGTGATCTGGCTACTCTTCCTGCAGCCCCATGGGTGGAGCTACGCTCACTTGTTCCTTTGTGATATTAACCCCTTGCCCTGTTTGGAATGGAATGTTCCTTGGAAATGCCCTTTGTGTGTCCCCTTCTCTTACTCTGCCCTTGGGTGTGGCCTTCCTAGATGTCAGTCAACCTGCTGACAGCAGACATAATGAAGCTGGACTCAGCCCCCTGAAACCTGACCCTTTGCTACATTTGAATGGCTTCTCCTCAATAAAAGGGGTTAGCCTGCTCTCTTTCTGCGGACCCTTAAGGTCAGAGGAGCCGTCACAGGAACCCCCAACTCCAACAGCGGAGACAGCAGCTCCCGGAGAGGCGGGGAGTGCGGCCTGGAGAAAGGCGAGCCACCGCTGTCGCTGCTGCCCGGAGGGCCACATCTCCAGCCCTCCCACAATTTAATTAACACACCAACCATATTTCATGGGACAAATGTCCAGATTCTGTTTTTCCCTAGGGAAAGAAGCAGCTACATCCCAGCAAAACAAACTAAATCAGGAGTGAATGCCAAGTTTCTGTTCATGACTAAAAGGCTCAGGGGTCACCCCAATTGAACTGGGCTAATTGGGTTCCCCAAAATAACCACACAAGAGGCACTAATACCTTTTTCTGGGCCTCGCCCTCCCTCGCTCCCCCCTGCGGCTATCTGCGCTGGCAGTCGGTCTCCGTTGGAACCCTTAGGCCCATGGCCCAGCGGCTTGAGGCTGAGCCACTGACGTTCCACGTGCCTTGGAAGCGGCTCCTGCTCCGCGACTTCACGGAGGAGCCAACGCCGTAGATTTGGATCCCGCCGTCGGGACTGCATCCTGGGCAACCGCAAAAGCACAAAATCGACGCAGGGGTCATGTCAGCGCCTTTGGCTTCGTCCAGCAAGCGCCGCGACAGTGAGGGCCGGGGCCTGGAGAGGAGCCCCAGGACGCCCAGCCCCCTGAGGTTGGAGGTGACCACGGGGCGGGGCGCACAGGGCCTCCGCGGCAAGACAGGGGGTTCGCACCGCTCCAGCACAATGAAGAATTTTGTCTGTATAATACTTTCCAGTACTGGAGAAATCCTTTACCACTTGTTGATCTGTCAGACATCGAAGATGTGAGTGAAAACAACCAAACAGAAGCAACACTTGCCTGGCAAGAATGAAGTGGTTGAGATTTACATGGAGTCCTGACATAAAGAGCTGAAAAAATGGGATTTCCTGAATTTGAGAAGTGAAATTCATGTAAGTGAATTTATGTATTTTTTAGGAAAAAGTTGTTTTCCATACTTGATTTCCAAACCTGAAAAATGAGGAAAGGTTGTTTTGAAGATAAATGCCTGTAGTTACTACTGACCTACTAATAGGGATTTGTCAACAATATAGCAGAGTGGTAGGCAAAATATTTATGCATATATTTTTAAAGAAGCAAGTTTTGTTTAGGTTCTGACTTTTAAGAAACTGATCTTACAAAAAAGGATTCTAGAAGTTTTAGAAATGCATGGAAAATACTCAAATCTTTCTCATCTGCACCAAAAAGTTTGTGGGTCATGGATATCATTTTATAATAACTTATTAATAAAATAATTTCTAATACATCTTACTGACTCTTTTTAGTTGAACAAATAACTGACTTGAACATCTATGCAAAATTAAAATGTGGGGATTCTTTGAAAGCCAGTATTATTTTTTAAGTTTTGTAAAAATAAAAAGTAGTGAGAAATTCAATGCTCACTAATAACTTCCAATATTTGATATTAATTATCAACATTTGATATTAAATAACTTCCAATATTTGATATTTGTTGGACTCTATTATGGTTAATCAAAAATGGATAAAGAAAAGTGACTTCCATTTCTTTAATGTGCAGACAGGGTTGAGAACCACTAGATCAATGTTAGTATTCCTGTTTAAAGGAAATTACTAGGGGTTGGGAATGTGGCTCAAGCGGTAGCGTGCTCGCCTGGCATGTGTGTGGCCCGGGTTCGATCCTCAGCACCACATACAAACAAAGATGTTGTGTCCACCGAGAACTAAAAAAATAAATAAATATTAAAAAAAAAAAAGGAAATTACTAATTTGAACTGAAACAATGCCTGTTAATTAGCTTTGTTTTTATTAGTCTCCATTGATGACTTTGTCATAAGTAATTTATAGTGTTGCTGTCACTTTTCATTGTTAAAAAAATAAAGAAATTTGTTTTGTAGTTAAGTATCAATGACTAAGTTAATTAACATTTGTACTGCATCCAGAATATTGGCTTTGTAATTTAGTAACTTGTCCTTACTTGTATATTTTTTTGTTGTTGGGATGACACTAAATCCAAAATTCAGAAAAGGTAGTAAATGCTAGAGGGGAAATTTTTGACATTTTGTATGTACTGCAATATTTAAATATGGGTTGACAATAAGAACAGAAGACAGTGTCTGTCATTGTGGTCAGAAATGGTTTTAAAGACTATACTGCCACTTTCTACCTATGTAGCATTAAACAAGTTATTTTTCATCTCTTAAAAAAAAATAACTTTTTCATTGGGGTCACTGTGACAACTCCTCCGACCTTAAGGGTCTGAAGGAAGAGAGAGAGCAAGAGTACGCTGTAACCCCATTTATTGAGGAGAAGCTATTCAAATGAGATAAGGGGCCAGGTTTCAGGGGGCTGAGTCTATCTTCATAATGTCCACTGTTAGCAGGTTGACTGACATCTAGGTAGGCCACATCCAAGTGCACAGTAAGAGAAGGGTACACACCCAAGGCACTTCCATGGAAGACTCTATCCTAAACAGGGCAAGGGGTTATATTACAAAGGAACAGATGAGCATAGCTCCACCCATGGGGCTTTAGGAAGACACGCCCAGGAACAAAGACAGTCACTCAAACCCTAGAAGAGTGGGGCAGACTAGCATCATGGGTGCCTGAGGCCACATGGCCCAGCAGGGGAGTTAACTCAAGTTTCTCACAAATGAAGACATTCTAGCCTCACATCTGCTACACCGGAAAGTTGACTGAGGAAGAGAACAGGGCAGTATGGGGAGGGGTCTTAGTGATCAGGGATGGGCTCCTCTCGGTTTCCTTACATTAGGATGATAGGAACACAGATACATAATCAGAAAGAGAAGTTGGGACCTCTTGAAACTGTAGTAGGGAGCAGGAAGAGAACTGAAGAAATCCTGTGTTGCTCAGTCCCACAGAAGACAGCTAGCTGTCTCACACTATAAATGAAGGTATTATGAACAAATTCATTGTAATGCAGACACTCTGAACAACCCATTAAACATTCAAAATGTCAGAAATTCCTAGGAGAGTCCTGTAACCCAGGAGTCTCTCCATTTCCCAATCCCTCTCTCTCTCTTCCAGCCCTCCAGGGTCTTACCTTTTTAAGTCATGAGAGACACATCAGAGCTCTCGGAACTGTCATTACCTGAGCAGAACAAAAACAGAACCTGGTCAGAGCCCACAGGAGATGCAGATAATGGAGAAATTATAGGATGGATCAGCTCCCAACTACCCACTATCCCAAGGGTCTCAGGGCTCACTGTTCTTCATACTTACAGAAAGCTGAAGCATTGGGCCCTTTTTTTATACCTGTGGGAAGAAAACATCCTGTGAGAGAGCAGGTTAAAAACAGGTCTTAGAGGTACCCCCTAGTCTTGGACACTGGGGACATTTCTAGAACTGTGACTACAGATGTAGGGAAGGACCAGGAGACTAGAAGAAAATAGATGTATAGTGATGGAGCCAACTGCTCTGCTGGAGGTCTGTCCTCAGCAGGGAAATTCCCCTCTGGCCTCTAAATGCCAGCGGTGTAAGAGTCAGTTCCCCCTCACCGCAAAAATCAGGGGAAATTTTTCTCCATTTTTTCCCATGTGCTTTACAAAAGAGTAAACAAGTCCAGTATTGGAGGCCATATAAATTATGGGTTTCTTGGAGCCATTAAGGCAGAGAAGCTGCATAATCTGCCAAACACCAAAGAACCTGTTTACTGCCAAACCGAGAAACAAGACTCCTCCCACACTGAAACCTCATCCCTGCCTTTGATGTACTCTCCCTTAAATAAAGAATTAGGGCATCAACAAATATATTAAAAAATGTTACAACATTGCTAGTAATTAGAGAAATGCAAATCAAAACTAAGATTTTGTCTCACTCTAGTCAGAATGATAGCTATTAAGAATACAAGCAGTAGTAAGTGTTGTAGAGGATGTGAGGAAAAGGCACACTCATACATCACTGGTGGGACTGCAAATTGGTGCAGCCAATCTGGAAAGCACTATGGAGATTTCTTAGAAAACTTGGAATGGAACCACCATTTGACCCAGCTATCCCACTCCTTGTTCTATACCCAAAGGACTTAAAAATAGCATACTACAGTGATGCAGCTACATCAATGTTTATAACAGCACGATTCACAATAGACTACCTAGATGCCCTTCGATAGATGAATGGATAAAGAAACTGTGGTATATATACACAATGGAATATTACTCAGCATTAAAAGAGAATAAAATTATGGCATTTGCAGGTAAATGGATGGAGCTGGAGAATATAATGCTAAGTGAAGTAAGCCAATCCAAAAAAACAAAGGCCAAATGTTTTCTCTGAAAAGTGAATGCTGATCCATAATGGGGGTGGGAGGTGGGAGCATGGCAGGAATAGAGGAATATTGGATAGGGCAAAGGGGAGGGAGGGGAAGTGAGGGGCATGGGGGTAGGAAAGATGATGGAATGAGATGGACATCCTTTCTCTAGGTACATGTATAAAGACATGAATGGTGTGACTCTACACTGTGTACAACCAGAGAAATGAAAAATTGTGCTCCATTTGTGTACTATGAACACATTCTGCTGTCATGTATAACAAATTAGAACAAATTAATTAATTAATTAAAAAAAAAGAATTGGGGCCTTTTTCATTTGTTCAGTTCCTATCAGGGCTGGAAGACCCCTCAGGAACTCCACTTTTTTTTTTTTAATAAAAATATTTATTTTTTCATTGTAGATGGATACAATTTCCTTTATTTTATTTATTTATTTTTATGTGGTGTTGGGGATCAAACCCAGGGTCTCACACGTGCTAGGCAAGTACTCTACTGCTGAGCCACAAGCCCAATGCCAAGGAATCCCGTTTTTTAAATCTAATCTTTGTCTTTGTCTTTATTTCTTACTGATTATTTCAGACTTTTCATTTTCCCACACAGCTCACACCTCCTGAGCAGGAAACTGCTCTGCTGGGGTGCTGGTCACCCCGTCAGTCTAGGCTGAATAAGCACATGTGGGTAGACACTACTTCCCATTACCAAGGCAGGGCACACTTCTACCAGGTACTTGAGACCACCAGTGGGACAAAAATTCGACCGTGCACTTTCCCTACCTGTGTTTTTTTTTCTCCACAAGACAAAACCGGCCACAGCTCCAGTGACAAGGACAATCACAGCAGCAGCAATTCCCACGATGGGGATGGTGGCCTGAGGGGGTGGCTCTGTGAGGGAAAGAGAAGTCAGTTGAGGGGCCCTGATCCCCAGCTCTCAGTCCATACCCTGCTGAGGGTCTCCAGAAAGCCTCCTGCTTGCTTCCTGACAACAGGCTCCGGGCCCTCATCTTACCCCATCTCAGGGTGAGGGGCTCAGGCAGCCCCTCATGGTGCACATGGCATGTGTATCTCTGCTCCTCTCCAGCAGGCACCACCACAGCTGCCCATTTCTGGAAGTTTCCATCTCCTGCAGGTCTGGTCTCCACAAGTTCCATGTCCTGGGTCTGGTCCTCCCCATCCCGCTGCCAAGTCAGGGTGATCTCCTTAGGGTAGAAGCCCAGGGCCCAGCATCTCAGAGTGACATCCCCTTCAGGGCTAGGGTGGTGAGTCACATGTGTCTTCGGGGGGTCTGAGAAAAAAATAGGGCAACTCAGACATTTTGGTATTACCTCTCCTGGGCCACTGAAGCAGCCACTCCCATAACCATCTGGAGAATGCACAACATGATTGGGGTGGGGAGGGAGCACAAAACCTAGACAAAGCCTGGACTCTGTGATCTGGCATCATCTCCTATTCCTTGGAAAGTTCTAAAATCAGGTTGAGGTAATGCAGTGTAAGAGGTTTCAGCTCTGAGAGGGACTTCACGTTCTGATCAGGGTGGAGGCTGAGAGATGTGGAAAAGCTTGAGTCACACCTCCAAAGACACTAGGCAGAAATGGCCTGACAGTGTGTCCTTGATGTCAAGACTGCTGCCAGGGAACTGTGGTCAGTTATTATCTTTCCCATCAGCCAGGGAGAAAGAGACTGCATCCCTTACTTGTCCTAGGAGAAAGTAGCCTTCAGTTCCTCTCTGGAGCAGCATCTGGGAATCCAGGTCCACTCACTTCCCTCTGGACAAGGGTGGTGTCCTAACATGGTGCCATTCTCCTCCCCTTCTTGGGGGAAGCAAGGGAGGAGATCTACAAGACATCATGCAGCCCCTCATACCTAAGTGCTGCAGTGTCAGGGTGATCTCAGCAGAGTAGAAGCCCAAGACCCGCACCTCAAGGTGCTCTTGTGGTCTGAGATGGGATGTTGGGTCATGTGTGTCTTTGAGGGGTCTAACAGGAAGATTCAGAAAACGCAGGCACTTTGCATTTATCATGGGAATAGAGTAGTGTGAACATTCTGACAATAGAACGTACAACTGGAGGGAGGAAAGGGTGCACAAAACCTATTACCAGGACTGCCGCAGTCTGGCTGGGCTAGCTGGCGCCACCTCACAGACCACTCCCCCTGGCAAAATACCAGGCACCATCCAGACTTGTTTACAGACCCTAATTTTTGCCAGGCGCCATCTTGACTTGTTTACAGACTCTAACACAGGACATAGGCATCTGGGTTAATTTCCTTTTCCTTGAGAAGTTCTAAAATTAGGGTGAGATAGTTCAGAGTAGAAGGCTCTACGTCTTTGACAGTAGGTCAAGAGGGAAGGGATTCTGGTGCTGACTTAGGTAGGGGCTGAGTGAATCAGAAAAGCTGGAGTCAGACCTCCAAAGGCTCTGGCTTCGGGGCAGAGAGGGAATAAGGCCAGAGAAAAAGTATCCCCAGTTGTTCCCAAAGCTTCTGACAGAGTCAAGGAACCAAGTCAAAGAGAACCACTGATCAATTATTTCAAGAAAGGTCTTCCTCTAATCCCAGAGAGACTGGATTCCTAACTGTCCCTGAGGGAAAAGTAGCCATCCTAGCGTGTTACTCCGTGGTACAGGATCTGGAAACCCAGGCTACTTTTACCTCTCTCAATTCTGACTTCGAACCTATTTTTCTCTACTTTTTTCCCCTGGCTGGGTATTGAATCCTGAGCCTCCCGCCTTCTAGGCAACGCTCTACCACTGCGCAACACCTCGGGTCCTTTCCTCTACTTCTTGAGGGTCTTCAGCTGCTGGCACAACCCCAGCGTGAGGGAAACTGCGAGAGTTTCCTATAGCCCCTCTTACCTATGCGCTGCAGGGTCTCCTTCCCATTCTCCAGGTGTTTGATCAGCCACTCCACGCACTCCCCCTCCAGGTAGGCTCTTTGGTACTTAGCCTCTTGGGCTGCCTCAGATTTGTGCTTGGAGATCTGAGCCGCGGTGTTCGCCGCGGTCCAGGAGCGCAGGTCCTCGTTCAGGGAGATGTAATCGGTGCCATCGTAGGCGAACTGATTATGGCCTCGCAGGAAGCGGCCATCTCGGCCCACGTCACAGCCGTAGGTCCACTGGAGTGTGTGGGAACCTGGTCGGGTCCCTACGTTAGCCACACCCACGTGGCCCTGCCCCAAGTTAGTACCGCCCACTGATCTCTGGGGCCGTAGGACCAAACTCAAAACGAAACTGAAGCGAATCCCCGGGGGCTTTCTCTAGATTGAGATCGGGCCAGGTCAAGGGGAGGAGGGGTGAATCTCCTCCCCAGCGACTCTGGACGACCTGGGCATATCCGTGAGGGATGAGGATCCTGACCTGCTATTCGGGCCCCAGTCGCTCACCAGAATCACTCTGGTTGTAGTAGCCGCGCAAGGTTCGCATGTTTACTCGAAAACTCCTTGCTATGTCCTTGGCGCGCTGAGTCTGTTCCTCCCAATACTCGAGTCCCTCTTGCTCTATCCACGGCGCCCGTGGCTCCATCCTGGGATCAGCAGCGTCGCTGTCAAAGCGCACGAACTGCGTGTCGTCCACGTAGCCGACTGCCAAGTACCTGGGCTGTCCGCCGCCGGGCCGGGACACCGCAGTGTGAAAATATCTCAGGGAGAAGGAACCTGGGGACCCGGGAGTTGCTCAGACACGGCGCTACCCTCCTCCTGGAGCAGGCGAAGAGAGGGGGCGAGGAGAGAGGGCAGGGCGCGGGCGGCGGAGGGGACCAGGGAAGAGGTCTGGGGCTGCGTAGAATCAATTTCTCGGGGTCCTGTACCCGCGTGGGGCCATCCCTTCCCTCCTTCCCCTCAGAGGCTGTTTCTTTCTTTCGGGACTCCGCACTCACCCGCCCAGATCTCGGTCAGGAGCTGGCTCTCACAGAGCAGCAGGAGGAAGATTCGGCTCGCCGCGGGCTCCATTTCCCAGCTCAGCGATAGTCCTATAATCCGAAATCGCAACTGTGAAAACTTCATCGAGACGATGATTGGCTTTTCTAGAATCACTACACTCAATGGGAGTAAGAAGTGGGGCCGCGTCATGGGTTTCCAGGATGAAGGACTAGACCAGGGCTGAGAAACGAAACTGCTCAGGCGGTTGTCAACAATGGACTTGCTCCTTCTAGACACTTAAGGGCAGGACTAGAGCCGTGTCTGAGGACCTGGGACGCGGCCCTGACTCCTATCCTGAGTGGAGCACTCTGTTACATTGCCTCTCTGAGCCCTGGCTCAATGAATGGTGTGCTTTTTCAGTTCTTAAACTTTTAGGTTTCAGGATCTCTATAAATATATTCAGAGAACTAGTTAGAACTCATCCAAAGGGATTTTTCCCCCCTGTGGATTATGTCAATATTTATCATGTTAGAAATTATTAAAACAGAATTTTGAAAAAATTAATTCATTTGAATAACATAAATAACCATTGTATGTTAGCAGAAATAATATTTTTATGGAAAATAATTAGTTTTCAAAACAGAATTCTGTGTGATCATTTTACATTTTTGCAAGTGTCATTCTTATCTGGGTCATTTGAAGACTGATGCATTTATATTTGCTTGTACATTCTTTCTCTTAGAGTTTTTTTTCTTTTTTTAGTGCTGAAGATTTTTATGTTTAAAACTATAATTATAATTTTGCAGTGATGGAGATAGAACCCATGATTTTGCCCATCCTAGGCAAACCCTATACCACTAAGCTACATCCTCACCTTATTCTCTTGCTCTGACTGATGTTTACTAAAAAAAAAAAACAAAAAAACAAAAAACAAAAAACAAAAACAAACCCAAAAACCTAAGGAAAGAAAGAAATCCACTTGACACAAATATTGAGTTTAAAAAGAAAGGATTAGTTTTAATAGTTTATTCAATGTAATAATTATGTATATCCATCTTTGACACTACACTAAGACCATACAAGTGATAATTTCATAAAGGTTAGTTACAACCTGGAACCTTATTATCAAATATTTCTGTTCTATTACATTAAAATCAGTTGATTTGGGGCTGGGGATGTGGCTCAAGCGGTAGCGCGCTCGCCTGGCATGCGTGCGGGCGGGGTTCAATTCTCAGCACCACATACCAACAAAGATGTTGTGTCTGCCAATAACTAAAAAATAAATATTAAAATTAAAAAAAAATCAGTTGATCTGTAATGCCCATTGAATGGATCTAATGGATGACTTTTTTAATGTAAGTGTTGGTTCACTGAGTATGCAAATCTTTCAAGTGTTAACCCATCTCAACAAATTAACAAAAGGTTAATTTTGGCTGGACACAGTGATGCATGCCTGCAATTCCAGCTACTGGGGAGGCTGCAAGTTTGAGGACAGCCTGGAAAACTTTGTGAGATCCTGCCTCAAAATATAAAATAAAAAGGATGGAGGATATAGCTCTGCCATAAAGCACCACTGGGTTTAGTCTTCAGCATTGCCAAAAAAAAAAAAAAAAAGTTACATTTGTTAATAACACCACAGATACCATGAGAAAAATTCCTAATTTTGTGGAAGCTGTCAAGGCTTAAAGTGATAGATTTCAAAAATTCAATTTTTTTCAGAATGCTTAAATTTTTTAAGAGAGAGTGAGAGAGGAGAGAGAGAGAGAGAGAGAGAGAGAGAGAGAGAGAGAGAGAGAGAGAGAAAATTTTAAGTATTTATTTGTATTTTTAGTTCTTGGCGGACACAACATCTTTGTTGGTATGTGGTGCTGAGGATGGAACCCGGCCGCACGCATGCCAGGCGAGTGCGCCACCGCTTGAGCCACATCTCCAGCCCCGCTCAAATTTTATCTTAGGAAAGAAATATACTTTCCTTGAAATGACAGACTTTCATTCAAATACCCCAAGTGTCCTCTAAATACCCCCAATCTATCCAGTATCCAAGAGAGTTTCTCTATCATTTATTGTTGCCTTTTGTTTGTTTTTCTGATGCTGGGCCAGGGCCTCATTTAAAATGCTAGGCAAACATTCTACCACTGAACTACAGTCTGTGTGTACCACTCATTCTTTTAAGTAAAAATGACATTTCATAAGAAAGAGACTACTTCAGTTCATGCAAATTATTTTCTTGAGCCAAGCATAGCATTTTGGTTTATAGCATAAGTATTTAATGCATAGATCCCACTTTATTACATCCAGTAGTTTACATATTTGGAAATCAAGAATGATTATGTAATAAAGTTAATTTTTATAATTTCAACAAAATATTTGAAACTTCTTCTTCCTCTTCCTCTTCCTCCTCTTCTTCTTCTCTTCCTCCTCTTCCTCCCCATCTTCTCTTTCTCCTTTTTCTTCCTATAAGAAATAGTGGTGAAGAACAAATTAACTAGTTGCAGTTTGGTGCCACAATTTTGATTCTTTCGAAAGTGCCAGTAGAATTACCTTACAAATGTCAAACTGGGGAAAAGGTAACTATTGTCTTGGTAATGCTATGAATTTAGTTTGTCCTCAGTGTGGATCCTGTGAAAGGATCTCAGTGATTTCAGGGGTAGGGGTGCCTTAACAGAGAATAACTCTTCTGAGTAAACCAGAGAGAATCTTCTGATTGCCCCTTGCCTCTTTGCTTCCTCTTCAATTTCCAGAATCCTTCTCTCTGAGCTGGACTGCTTTCCAAAACTTAGGGTGGAACTCTGCTTCTGGATCTTTCTAGAAGAGAACTTACTCCCTGAAAATTTGATGCCAGTTTCCTCAGTCAGAGAACTGGGTGGATAGATAGGTGTTTCCTGTTTGGAATTGGAAACATTTTGTATTTGAAGGCATCAGACAGGTTCACTCATGACTCTTTGGGTTTTGTTACATAGCGCTTTAATATATATTCATATCTCAATGGGAAATTGATACAGGAGAAAAAATATTGATTCCTTCTGTATAGTGCACTTGACCAGAGACCCACAAAGCAGCAACAGCAATGCTGTCCAGTAACATTATGTGTGATGAAGGAATTGTTCTATACCTGTACTGTCTATTATGATAGCCACTAGACATGTGGCTATTGAGCACTTGAAATGTGATTAATGTTATTGAGCAGCTGAATTTTTAGTGATACTGAGGATAGAAGCCAAGGCCTTGTACATGCCAAGCATGTACTGTACTACTAAACTACATACCCAGCCCCTTGAATTTTAAATTTTATTTAATTAATTTTAAAAATGACATGGCTAGCCAGGTGAGGTGGCACACGCCTGTAATTTCAGTGGCTCAGGAGACTGAGATAGGAGGATTTTGAGTTCAAAGCCAGCCTCAGTAATAGCGAGGTACTAAGCAATTCAGGGAGACCCTGTATCTAAATAAAATACAAAATAGGGCTAGGATGTGGCTCAGTGGTTGAGTGCCCCTGCATTCAACTCCCAGTACCCCCCCCCAAATGACACATAACTAGTAGCTATCATATTTGACAGTGCATGTGTAGAGTGCTTTTAGTTTTTAGTCTCCCCTAATACCGTGAGACTCTAAAATTGAAGTATATTAAAATTTTCTTCATATGGAAATCTTGGATATGTCTATGTGAGTCTTAAAATATATCCTTAAATATAGCATGTCTAATAAAATTTAATTGATATGTATTTTAATAACTAAAGCATACAGATATTAATAAAAACATGATTTATCACCTCAAAGTTCTAAGTGTTAAAAAATGTTTATCTTTGGGCTGGGCAATAGTAGAGTATTTGACTAGTATATGTGAGGCCTGGATTAAATCACCAGCACCAAAAAAAAAAAAAAAAAATCCATTGTGGAAAGCCATTCCAAATGCACGCACCTTTTAAGTCCTGCTGCACCACTGGGATCTGAAAGATCACTGTAGTCTGGAGTGATCTATCTTTTTCCTGCTTGGATAATAAGTCATGGCTTCAGGAATAGGCATACCCACTGGGGTTGAGCTACACTCACCTATTCCTTTATAACCCTACCCCTTGCCTCGTTTGAATGGCTTCTTCCCAATAAAAGGGTTCAGCATGTGCTCCTCTCTCTCTCTTTCCAGGGACCCCTAAGGTGGGAGAAGCTGTCACAGGACACAAAGAAAAAGGTTTTACTCTGTCTCTGTGTGATTATTTTAATGCAGCCCAGTTCACCTGGAGTGACCCTGAATGTTTAGTTATGGAACGTAACAATCCATTGCTGGTATTAATCCTAGTCTGTTACTCTGCATTATTTGTTTTTTCCTGATCAATGTAAGGAGTCAAATAAGTCTTTATCCCAAGATAAACTATTCACTGAATATGATATTTATCAAATGCCCTGTAAGACATATTTCTTTATATTATATATGTATATATTTATATAATTTTTTATTTGTAGATGGACACAATACCCTTATTTTATTTATTTATTTTTATGTAGTGTTGAGGATTGAACCCAGTGCCTCACAACCATATTTCTTGAACTATAAAATAAGAAATTTAAATCTTAGAATTCTACCACCTTAGAATTCTTTACCTATTGCTCTACCTACCCTCACATTCCAACATTTTTTTTTCTCATTACTCTTGGACCCCCTTTTCCTTGCCGTCACAACGTAGATTGCAATATGCATGAAATATTTAAAACTGTGGAGTGAAGAGGGATTCTTAAGCATGATCTGAAGTTTTTCATCTTCATATGGAAAAATATGTCCTTAAAATATAGCATGTCTAATAAAGTTTAATTGATTAAAAATGATAGCAGTTTTAACTACTCAGTTGGACAGCCATAAATACAAAAATGTACATTTTCCCATAATTAATCTTATAGGCACATAAGAGACTTGATAGGCAAAATAGTAATGTATCCATGCCCTTCAGCCAAAGATGACCAGGAATACAATATGGGTGTAGAAATTGGATTTATTACTTACAACTGGGTACAAAAGTGTGTAGCATGGAAGGCCATGTGACATCTGAGTAAGAGGGTATTAGAAAGAACCTATTTAGGATTTGGCCTTGTTTGGGTAATTCTGGGGAGGGTCTTAGGAAGTGGGCTTTGTATATAGATTATTTGTCATAAAACAGGGGCAAGCTGGGGGTGTGGCTC